CTGTATTTAATTATTTGTAAATAATTTTTTTGAAACTGCAAGTACCAGGAATCGAGCTCGTGTTCTGCCAAATTTGAAGCTCAGAGTCAGCGCACCTTAACCAACTAACCAGAAGCCGTACTTGACTTTTATGTTCGTACATTTTTTTGGAGTTTTGTTAATTTGCTATGAAAGTTTTATTAACAATTTCACTTACTGTGTTTATATTAGAACGAAATCATAAACCAGCTGTAGAATAATTGAATTAATTAATTATATTTTTATTTTTAATTGTTAAATTCTGAATCTACTTTTTTAAATTTTTGTGTCGAGTAATGCGATATTAAGACTTAATAAGTTCTTAAATTCCTATGGTCTTGAAATAGTTACTTAAAGCTATCCTCTTACCGTTGTTTTTTTATTAAATGTTTGTGATTCAACAAAATATTTTCAAGCAAAGAAAAAATAGCTTCGAAAAAATATACAAAATTGGAAGACTAACAATTCAAGTGTAAGTTTGCATTTCACTCAAAGTTTTGAGCAATAATTTCATTAGCATAACGAAAGTGAGCCAAAGAACATGGTTTGGAAAAAAGGAGACGGTAAAAAGGAGCAAAAATGTTAAAAACGAGGACGTTTGAGTTGAAATGCTAATGAAATAAATTTTAATTAAATTTAAATTCTAAAATTTATTACATGAAATTGAATTTTAAAATTTAATTGCATTTCGCTTAAGTTTAATATGGGAAGTGCAAGTCGTTAGCATAATATTTAATATTTATTTATTGAAATGCGAATATTTTTCTGTCAATCATTCATAAGATAGTAACACCAATTATAACCAAAAACTAAAAGATAGTTGGAATATTGGTTAAATAAAATGGAGCGTTTTTAAGCTCAGATTTGTGCAACTTTGGGTCTTTGGGAATTAAACAGTTTATTAAAAAATATAAATAAAACTTGAAGCTGCTTAGAAAATAGTTGTAAAATAAAGTTCAAAATTTTTTAAATTTATTTTTAAGAAAAAACTTCAAACTTAGTTTTGTTTGTTATAAATTTCTCTAAAGTATAGTAAATCATTAAGAAAAAAGCATAACTTGTGTGCTATTTCTGTAATAAGCTACATTATGGCACTCGTATCTTCGCCATTGTGCAATACTTTGACAAGTATAAAACGTATAGGAACTAAGTTTTGAGATACAAACCTTTGGTTCACTGCTGCACTGCGCCTTGGGACATTTGACTTTCCGCTCAAGTAAATTTTTCACAAAAAACTCTTGCCATTACTAGTGCGAAAAATTTTATTTATTTTTTTTTTTAATTTGTATATATCTAATTTGTATATATTTAATTTATATATAGTCAATGATTTGTATATGTGGTATTTTTTTGCTTTAATGCAATTCACATACCTAGAGTGTAAGTTTTATATCTATTATTTTTATGTGCTCATGAGTTAGTAGACGGAATAAGTAAACATACCAGTAAACATGTCGTATAAATCAAAAATGCAGTTCTTCAAGAAATTTTAATATAAGAATAATGGAAATTTTCTTTTAATTTGAAAAAAAAACATATAATAACCATTATAACCACTTAAAAACAAAAGTTTCCAGATCACAATCAAGTTAGATCGCGTTATGTCCAAGGGTTATTATTATAATGTGTATTAGACATAAGTACATCGCGATCTACTACGTTTTTTGCATATATCTAGGATAAATCTAATAGAAAATAAAGTTAATGGTAATGCTTTATGATATGACGCAATTTTTCAAGTTTTTATCGACTTGGTGGCCAAATGAAAACACTGGAGTTTTGTTTACTAAGAATCAAAAAAGTTAAGCAGAGATAAAGGTTGAATTTTTCATATTATTTCATATTATTTCATATTAAGAAAAATCTATTTCGAAATTGATTTTATTTTTACAAACACTGGCATTTAACAATAATTAACTAAATCACAAAATTATAAACATTTTATAAATAAATAATGAACTTAATGTACATATGAGTATTTTACGTATTATAAATAACATAAAATTGTTAGATTAGTTAGATTTATTTGATTATTATATTAGACACATTAATAATCGAAACCAACGGAGCGGGAGCTGCATTGAGAACTTCAGAGTTTGTTTACAGAAGTTTTGTGAAGCTCAAGTACTTAAGCCAACAACTAACCTGCTCGCAACTGTGTATTGTCTTCAGCTCAAGTATTGGTGCGCACGTACATGCACGATTTTCTATTGTACATTACCCAGCGTACATTTTTAATCGCGGAAGAATCGTCCGCGATGCTTTTGCGTGCTTTGTTTCTCGTGGAAGCGTATTTAATTCAAACGCAGACGATGCTTCCGCAATACTTTTGTATGAGAGAGTTGTCCATCGTCCGCGAATCGCTTAGACGAATCGCTTTCTGCTCCCAAAACCATTGCGGAAGACGCGCAAATGTTCGTTAAGCGCGATCATTCTCAATAGTGAGCATTCCACTCAAATTAATGAGTGGTTTTAGTACTGCAACTTAAAACATTGTAAACATTAAAAAATTTTATTTTTTATATTTTTTATAATAATTTTTTATTGTAAAAAGTAAAGTAAAAATATAAAAAAGTAAATAATATAAATTATTAATAAACTATTACAAATCACTTATTGTATTATAAAAATTGCTAAAATATTACAAAACACTTATTCTATTATAAAAAGTAAAAAAGTTAAGTAAAAATATAAAAAAGTAAATAATATAAATTATTAATAAACTATTACAAATCACTTATTGTATTATAAAAAGTAAAAAACTTAAGCAAAAAATATAGAAAAGTAAATAATATAAATTATTAATAAATTATTACAAAACACTTATTGTATTATAAAAAGTATAAAAATTAAGTAAAAATATAAAAAGTATATATAAATTATTTATAAATTAATTCAAATCACTCTCTTGTGATTTCAGTTTTCGCTTCTTAATCCGGTCTTTTGCATGTACAAAATGTTGTTGAAGCACCGAGTTCATTTTTATATCATTCACTTGCGGAAATTTAAGGAGACAGATATCTACAGAATGGGAAGTTATATATCAGAACATATTTATCAATAGATTTAAATTATTAAAGAAATTACTTTTTATTATTTTTATTAAAGTATACGTTTGTATACTATTCTTCTCCTTTGTTCCTCTCCATGTGTAATTAATTGCGAGCTCATCAGATATGACTCGCTTAACGCTTTGCCTTAAAAATACGGCCATTTCGTCACCGCCCACTCTGTTAATGAAGTGCTTCTGAAAATATAAAATAGTTGTAAAACAAATATAGTTGATAATTTATATTCTAACTTACGAAAGCTTTGTTTATGTCTTCATCAACCAAATTCGCATCAAACTGTTCTAAGGCCTCTACAGTATGTAGAGGTAGCGATGGTAAAATGGTTGACTCCACTTCATTTATAGAATTTGTGTTGAATTTAAGAAGACGTACTTCCTGACGTAATGAAATAACCTCCTCGGTTAATGTTTTTACGACTTTAATTATGTTTTCATCCCGCTTTTGCTGCTTCTTGTCCCTCTCCCTTATTTCGTGTAGTATATCGGAAAGACTTGGAGTTGGAAGACCTAATAAAAATCAGAAAAGTATTGTGCTTACTATAATACTGGCATAAATAAAGATAATATTTATGATAATATTTATTTAATGAACTAAATTATATAGTTTTACAAAAAAAAACTTACTTGTAGTGGCTGAACAAGCAGAAGTAGTGTGATTTTCAATTTCCAATT